AATTTGTTTTCTTTCTTCTTTCCTCTACAAACTTAAACATCTTTTCAATTATAATTTTTAATTTATTTGTAATTATCCAAATTTATTTGTAATTATCCAAATTCAGATTATAAGGGAGGCTTCAAAAAAATCAAATTTTTATTTATTGATTTTCATTTGGAGATATCAAACTTTCACAGCACATTAATATATCAATGAATTTAAGGACAAGAGAATGGACATACTGAAACAGGCATATATAGCTGTCAGTAGCTAGGAAGCAAAAGTCACCGAGAATGATAATAAAAAGAGCTCAGTTTCTGTTAATAAAATTTCATGTAGACCATGTGACAAATAAATAGATAAACCAGTAGTTCTTCATTTAGACTTTAATGTCTTGTGGCTCATAATCTTTCTGGAAATAAAATACTTATCCAATGGAAGAAAAAAGCCAATGGTTGATAGAAATCTTTTTCAAGCAGATTGTCCTAACAGTTCATGAAATACAATGAAGGCGCAATCTCTGGTGTGCTAGACTTACAAATTTGAGACTCTAAAATAATAGCAAGTACCACCGATGCTGTTTGTTGAAAACAGAAGAGACTCAACTGCTCTGAGCCTTCCTTTATTTAATGTCAGAGAGGGATTATGTTCTCAACTGTCTTCATCTCCCAGGTTCACTCTACTTGCAGTGGCAGGTAGGAAACAATTTACCTTTACAGCTGGCAAGCCTGGGTCTGAAAGAAAAGAGAAGAGAACCATCCTGTCAGGGGTAAGGATGCAGACGGGTAAGGAGCAGAGGAGACTGTGGGAAGTGGTGGGGAGTTTAAGAGCAAAATGTAAATATTGGCCAGTGTCCCTCCTATGGTCCCAACATTGTTGGTAAAGGGTGCAAAATCACACAGATGTTTCTTACAATAATACTTCCGGTGAAATCACTACAAGGTCTGGTTTCATTTGGTGTTTTCTTACAACAGCACAGATCGTGAAGATAATCTCTGCATTATATTGCATATATACCTTTTAATTTTTAATTAATTTCAGACAAATAAAAATTGTAAAAAAAAAGTATAAAGATTTCCCAAATTCTCTAAATGACAACACTTTACTCTGCATGATCATTTTCTTTATCTTTACATGTACATATTATTAATATTTGTGTGTGGGGGAGTGAGTACTTGAGAATAAATTGCAGACATAATGTCCTTTTATCCCTAAATATTTCCATGTTAATTTTCTAAACACAAAGACATTCTAAACCACCCAAATACAATTCTCAAAATTAGGAAATTAACATTGATACAATATTATCTAATTTTCAATCTTTCTTTAAAATCTCATCAATTGTCTCACTAATGTCCTTTTTAGCAAAAGGAAGAAAATTCTATTTAGGATTAAATCCATAATCATAGTTTGCATTTATTTGCTTTGTCTCTTTAATCTCCTTTAACCTGGAACTATTTCTCAGTCTCTCTTTGTATTAGTTTTTTACTTCGGCTGTAACAAATTATCTATCACATTAGTGTGTTGAAAACACACAAACTTATCTTACAGTTCTGGAGATCAGATGTCCAAAATCAGTCTCAATAAGCCAAAGTCAAGGTGTCTGCAGGGCTGGTTTCTTCTGGAGGCTCTGAGGGGAGAATCCACTTTCTCACCTTTTTTTTTTTTTTTTCCCCCCAAAAAAGTTTTCACATATTTATTATGGAATCAATCTACTTTTGCAGAGCATAGAAACAGAATTTCCTCAATAAAACATGTCCAAATGTCCAGACTTTCAGCTTGAAACGGTAAAATAATAGTGACATTGATCAATTGGTAAATATGTGTGCCATTTCACATGCAATTCTTTATAGACCAGCTTGGTTCTTCTCCAATGTCTCCTCTTGGAGTTGTACCTGATTTTATTACTAGTTTTCATCTGAATCCACTGGGGAATGGGCCAATTTTGCTTGTGTTTCTTGGCCAGGAATCGCCTGATCCTGAAAGTCTTACGAGAAGACATGGTGAGGAAGGGAGACCACCCCATACACCACAATGGCAGAGAAAGGGAGAGAGAGCTTTCTCGACTTTTTTAGTTTCAAGATCCTCCACACATTCACTGCTTTGTTGATTCCCTTCCTCGCATTACTTTAACCTCTTGTTTTAATCATCACATCTGTTACTAACTCTGACTGTCCTGCCA